AGTTAGACTCTAACTGCTATGCTGTATACCTGATACTAATACAAAATATTGTAAACTGTTATTTAAAAAAAAACTCCTTGATTTTAACTGGCATTCCCCAAATGTAGATGACTACATTAGCTCCTTTCTCCTAACTCATATACACATCCTGTAGCACACATGGTGGGAAACAATCTAACAAATAACACTTGTTAAAGCCTTCAACAATTACTGATGGAAAGAAACCATGTAAGCATTTCTCAGCTTCTCATGGATGGATCATTCCAGTAATAAAATTTGCTGGTTTATTGGAAAGTTGAATTCTGTGCCTCTTTTAGAGATTTTGAAGAACTAAGCCCCAATACCTGTCACTTTTTAAAAATATGTTTTAATTTTTTTTGAAAGAGAAAAAGGGAATGTGACAGAGAGAAATATTGATGAGAGACAACACCATCGATCTTGCATGCCCCTACTGGGTATTGAGCCTGCAACCTGTGCATGTGCTCTGACCAGGACTTGAACCAGTGACTTCTTGGTTCATGGGTCGATGCTCAACCACTGAGCCACACCAGCCTGGAAAGCCCCAGTACTTGTGAATATGTCCTTATTTGGAAATAAGGATGTCATCAAGTTAAGATGAGGTGGTACCAGATTAAGGTGACCCTAAATCCCAGTGGTGTCCTTATAAGAAGACACAGACACAGATTAACATCAGGTGAAGACAGATGCAGAGATTGGAGTGATATGTCTACAAGTCAAGAAACACCAAGGGCCTGCCAGAAGCTAGGAGAGAGACATGGAATAGATTTCTCCCTCAGAGCCTCCAAAAAAGGAACCAAACCTACTGATACTTTGATTTTGGACTTTTAGCTCCGTAACTGTGAGGGAATACCTTTATTTTGTTTTAAGACACCCAGTTTGTGGTACTTCGTTACAGCAGCCCTACATAAGTAATATTCTATCTACCTGGTGAGACTATGACCACGTGAATAGAAAAAATCTAGAAGAATATATATTGAATGTTATTTAATAATTATCACAAGAGGTAAGATTATCAGAAACTCTCACTTTCCATAATATATACTTCTGTAATGTTGGAATATTTTGTGAGAAGCATATATCACCTTTCCTCCTACCAAAGGAAGGAAGGAAGAAAATAAGTACAGAGAGATCAGAGACAGTCCAGAGAAATGCTCCCTATACTACATGGGTTGAGGAAATCCATTAGGCTCAAAATACCTTTGGAATGGGTTTCTTGCCAAAAGATAGTGTGGCTCAAGTCCTTTGCTTTGAGTGAAATCAAGTTTATATTAGCAAGAGTTTACTGGATTAGAATCAATGCATAAGCTAAAACAACCATATATAGACCAACATCAACCTAGCCACATAGCTAACCATCTCTCTCATGAATGGTGGAAACTACGTCCAGTCAGAGTGGAGTTCATGTAGAGTAGAAGCAAACCAACCTATCATACCTCTCTTGAGGATGTTTACTGACAGGTACACAGAGAAGACATGTGATTATGGTTCAGGTGAGAAAATGTCTTGTAGAGCCTACAGTACTACCCAATCTCACCTGGGACTCAGGGTGATTGCCTCCTCTAAGGTTTTAGGGCAACTTCATTCCAAAGTATCCTTCAATAAATCTACACACACACACACACACCCCAAAACCCAAACAAACAAGGAAGTTATCACTTTACAAGTTCAAGAAAATTAGTTTCAGAGTCACTCAATACATTAGCTTCTCTGAAAAGTTTAGGCAAAATGACAAAAAGAATAAGTGCCAAATGGAAGAGATATGTATTTTCAAACTAACTGCAAGTTAGGATTATCAAAGTATGCACTATTCATCATTTTATTTCTTTTCTTCCTCCATTATTTTTTTGGCTTCTCCAACTACTAAAGGCTAGACATGAAAGAAAGGAGATAAAATATAATGTAATATCATTTTGCTGTAAAAGAGGAGGTGAAAACCAAAAGCAAGAGTGAGATTATTTCTGAGCAATTTTACCTTAAGCCAGTAAAATAAAGGATCCTGTGATGTCATTCTACTCAAGTTTTCCTATATGACACATTTGTAAATCTATCAGCAGATACTTATTGCATAATCATTTAAGTTTTTTAACTATGGAACAACCCTGAAGTGGTAACATAAAAAATTATGACTAATTGAATTTTTAAAATAAACTATAACATAAATCATGACAATCAAAGATAGAGAAATCAACATTTTTCTTCCTCCACTTACTAGTTGTTACACAATGAAGAGTATTTTCCTGTTGCTTAGAATTTAATGCTTCTATGGAAATCACTAGCTGTCCTTCTAGCAATGCTCCATTTGCTGTTTCACACTTCCAGTGAATTATTAAATATTTCAAAATCTGAAAAGGGCATAATTCAAAGAAAACACAATCTTCTTTAGAAATCATGACAATAAAATTATGATAATTAATAACTTAATTTCAAAAAATAATCTTGCTTGCAAAATGTCAGATTTACATTTGTTCAGAACAAAGCATTGTGTCTAAACAGAAGAAATAGCTTAGGGAGTGACCTAAAGGAGACAGTGAAATTCAACACAATGCCCAACAAGACAGGAAGTGGAGACACCAAATTGCTTTATTCAAAGAATAAGTTCATCTGGAAATAATTTGAAAAATTAAGTGGGGATTTGTTTTTCTGTCTCTTTTTTCTTCCCAAATAAAATCAAACATTAAGTTATGACTCATCTTTAGCTTTCATTAAATCAACATTTCTGAGGGTCATAATACTAGTTAAGAACACTGGCTCTGGAGGTAGATGCCTCTTTTTTAACCATGATGCCCCAATTCCAGCACGTGACCATGGGAACTTATTGCTCTGGATCTCAGCTTCCTCGTTTATAAAAATGAGAACCACATACGGCTACTGCTGAACGTGCAAACTGCTTAATACAGTGCCTGGCATGTAGTAAATGCTTAATAAATATTACCCATTATCCTATATAATAAAAGGGTAATATGCAAACTGACCCTAACAGCAGAACAACTGGGAATGACTGGTCACTATGACACACACTGACCACCAGGGGGCAGGCGTTCAATGCAGGAGCTGCCCCCTGGTGGTCAGTGCGCTCCCACAGGGGGAGCTCTGCTCAGCCACAAGCCAGGCTGATGCCTGCAAGCACAGTGGTGGTGACGGGAGCCTCTCCCGCCTCCTCAGCGGCGCTAAGGATGTCTGACTGCAGCTTACCTCTGCTCCCTGCTAGCAAGTGGACATCCCCCAAGGGTTCCCAGACTGCCAGAGGGATGTCTCAGCTGCCGGGTCCCCAGGGGATCGGACCTAAACCAGCAGGTGGACATCCCCTGAGGGGTCCCAGACTGCGAGAGGGCACAGGCCAGGCTGAGGGACCCCCTCCCCCCACCACAGTGCACACATTTTTGTGCACCAGGCCTCTAGTTTCTAATAAGCTCATCTTCAGTAGACTGCACACAGTATTTTAAGTTGAACAGATCTCCAAGATGTCTGGATGAAACATTCAATCTTGAAGAGATAAATTTGAAACAAAATATATTGTATTTAGTTCCATTATTATTTATGAACGTGGACACTCACTTCCACATGAAGGTACCATACTAATGATTACCCCTTTAAAAAAAAAAAAAAAAAAAAAAGCATATCTCAGTATGAGAACTTGGGAACTCAGGTCCTAATTTGCACCGGAGTTTACAAAGATGGCCTCCAGGCTTTGCAGTCTAACTCTCCTTCTGGCATCCCGGGGCTTCCTTATCCGTAATGAGAGCTCGCAGATGGGAAATGAACGCTGACCGGCCAAGGCAGCGGCTCTGCGCTCTGTCCTAGGTTCCGTCGCCTGTAAAATCTCATCCTCCCACTTTCCTGGATGATAACCAAGGCGGCAGGAAGGCCCATGAACTCTACCCGCCGCCAGGTGAACCCCGTGTGTGCAGCTTACATGCTATCTCGTCGGCCTAGTGTCCCTGACAAGGCCCGGTGCTAAGAATCAACCCCAGCCCTACCCGGTTTGGCTCAGTGGGTAGAGCTTCTGAAAGGTCCCAGGTTCGAATCGGTCATGGGCATGTACCTGGGTTGCAGGCACATCCCCAGTGTGGGGTGTGCAGGAGGCACCTGATCCGATGTTTCTCTCTCATGGCTGATATTTTAAAAAAAAAAAAAGAATTCAACCCGAGAACGGCTGTGGGGGCCATCATGGATGACAAGTGCCGCCGGCCGGTGCCAGGGGCTCAGTCCCACCTCCCAGAGCAGGAATCCGTGCTGTGGTCAGAGCTGGGTGCGGCCTTCCATCCCTCACCCTGCGGCTCCCGGCCAGGACCCAGGAAGCCGCCTGCACCTGGGCTGGCCGAGGGCCCACAACCGCTCCCCTCTCTCCCGTTTCGCACGGGTTGGTCCCGTCCATTCTGTCCACGGCCCTCCCGGCACTGGATGGGGCCCCCGAGGCTGGCACCCCTGCCCCAACCCGGGAGAACAGTTGCACTTCCTGGGCCTTGGTTTTGACGCGGGGGCGACAGCATGTGGCCGTTCCCTCGGCTGAGTAACTACCCCTCCGAGGCCCCCAGTGCTTCACTGCCCGAGGCCCCCACACCCGGGGGCCCCCACACCCGGGCCGGCTCCTCACAGCCCTGTGTGCGGCAGGTTGACCGGCACCGAATCCTATCGTTCCCGAACTTTCCTTTGCCCCCTCAGGCAAGGCCACGCCCCTCTGCCCGAACTTCGCGAGGTCTCCCAAAGCCCGCTTCTCCTAGACTACCCTCTGCTTTGTCTCCCTTCCCGGCATCGTCACCTCACACACAGCCACAGCCGTCCCCTCCATTTCGCACAAGGAGCGGCAGCGACGCCCCTCAGCCGTGCGTCCGCCGGGGCCTCGACCTCCGCCCGCGCTCGCGCCCACGTCCGGCGCACGACGCGGTTTCTTCCCGCCCGCGCGCGCGCGCGCCCCGCCCACCGGCCCGCCGCGCCTGCGCACTCGGCGCCGCCCCCCCCCCCCCCCCCCCCCCCCGCAGCCTGCGAGCTGCCGGCGCCTGCCCGGAGCTGCGCGGAGCTACCCGTGGGCAGACAGGTGGACGCGGGGCTGGGAAAAGCCCGCGGGCGCGCGCGGGGCTGGAGGTGAGCGGGAAGGAAGCCAGGCCACGACTCCTTCCTCTCGAAAGAAAGAGACTTTCCCACGGTGCTTCCAAAAACGCTTCCGCCGCCCTCAGCGGGGAGAAGACGCGGGTGCGGGACCCCAAGCCGGTTCTTGACCCCCAACCAGACTCACTCACCACTGCGGGGGACGGGGAGGAGGAGCGGGTGCCCCAAGTGCCCCAGGCCAATCTCTGGTTTCCCAGATTTTTAGCAAATAAAAATGCCGGACGGACAGCTGAATTTGAGTTCTAGTTTCAAAAGCGATAATAAAAACTCGATAAGCATACGTATAGTCCATGCAATATTTGGGACAAACTTATACGTTAAAATTTATTGGGGCATTTGAAATTCACAACTGGGCGGCCTGTATTTTCACTGGCAGCCTGTCCCAAGCATGTCCCCAGGCCTAATGCCGGGGTGCCCAGCCAGCCCCTCCGGAAGGGGACCTCGCCCCCAGGGAAAAGGCAGGCGCCTGCTTTCCTAAGCTCCCCGGGCAGGACAAGCTCTGGGGTTTCCGCGGTGTTTCTTGCTGAAAGGAAGGTAGTCCCTCCAGACTCCAGCTGCAGGGCTGGGGCGAGTTCAGGGAGGGGTGTGGCGAGTGGGGGTGATGTGGCTGCTGGTTCTTCGGGCAGCCAAAGGAAACCGGTGAGAGATTCCTGCCTGGCCGAGAGTTGCCCAAGGAGAAGGGTGGGACAGGGTGTTGGCTGCTTTCCTTCAGGGAGAATTCTTCCACCCCAGCTCCACGAAGCCAGGATTGGACAGAACAGGCAGGCAGCTGGCGGGGTGCCTGTCCGGTGCACAACCTTGGTGCTGCTCCAAAGAACACGTCTGCTGAAACCTGAATCACAGCTCTCCTGAGCCTGAGCTCAGCGCTATTGACCACTCTCCCCGTTTCAGTTGCTCACAGGTAAATCTGTTGGAAAAAGGTGGCTTGTATTTCTGGAAAATTCTTCATCATACCCTTGCAGCCTTGATGAGCTGGCATTTTGGGGGGAATCATTGGAGCCTTTCACTCCCTGCTCTCTCAGGTGCCCCTTTAGGAAGGGGCGCTGCCAAGGGGAAGGGAGCTAACATAGTGGAATGACTGCCTGTTGTCACCACTGGCTCTTTGTATAGATTTTTAATTTTTTTTTTAAATATATTTTATTGATTTTTTACAGAGAGGAAGGGAGAGAGATAGAGAGTTAGAAACATCGATGAGAGAGAAACATCGATCAGCTGCCTCCTGCACATCTCCCACTGGGGATATGCCCGCAACCCAGGTACATGCCCTTGACCGGAATCGAACCTGGGACCTTTCAGTCCGCAGGCCGACGCTCTATCCACTGAGCCAAACCGGTTTTGGCCTTTGTATAGATTTTTAACTCTCACTGTATCTTGTGAGACAATTGTTTGGTGTGTGTGTGGTTTTTTTGTGAGACTATTTGATGATTGAGAAACCAAGGTAATGAGGATGGCTCTATTGTTATTGTTAATCTTCACCCAAGGATATTTTTCTGTTAATTACCTGAAAGAGTGGAAGGGATTGGGAGAGTCAGAGAGATAGAGAGAGACAGATGTGAGAGAGACACATCGGTTGGTTGCCTCCCACATGTGCCAAACCAGGGCTAGGGATCTAGCCTGCAACCGAGGTACATGCCCTTGACCAGAATCAAACCCAGGACCCTTCAGTCCACAGGCCAACATTCTATCCACTGAGCCAAACCAGCCAGGGTGGATGGCTCTTTAAAGTCTTTCCCATGGAGAGAGAGTATTGGCTCAGCAGAAAATGCCCCACCTTAAAAATGGCGTTGGGAATGAAGGGTGGGGTCATGAAGGGTGGGGTCATGTGGGCCTCCAGCTCTTGTCCCTGGAGCGGGCCTCAGGGATGAACATGCAGTGGAACGCCCAACACCATCCTAGAGTCAGGCCTAACAGAGGTAGCTAGGGACACAACTCCCCACCCCTCCCTGTTGTAGGCAGAACCTAGGAAGTTAACCTTTGATATAAGGGCCTGCCATCAGGACTTCCACAGCATAAGCCCCTGTAGTCAGGCAAGGGTTAATGCAGGCTTGACATTTGGCGGGCATCTCCTCTGTGCTAAAAGGTCTTTGCTTTTTCTTATTTATCCTAAGTAATCCTCCCAATCTTGTATGGGAAGTGTTGTTATCATTTTATAAATAATGAAGTTGAGGTTCCAAGAAGAGATTATATCACACTGAGTTTGTAAATGGCAGAGCCAAAATCTGAAACAAAAATCCTGTTTAAGAAATATGTTTTTATTTTTTTAATATATTTTATTGATTTTTTTACAGAGAGGAAGGGAAAGGACAGAGAGTTAGAAGCATCGATGAGAAAGACACATCGATCAGCTGCCTCCTGCACACCCTCCACTGGGGATGTGCCTGCAACCAAGGTACATGCCCTTGACCGGAATCGAACCTGGGACCCTTCAGTCCACAGGCCGATGCTCTCTCCACTGAGCCAAACCGGTCAGGGCAGAAATATGTTTTTATTTATTTCAGAAAAGAAGGGAGAGGGAAAGAGAGAGAAACATCAATGATGAGAGAGAATCATTGATTGGCTGCCTCCTGCACATTCCACACTGGCGATCAACCCCAACACCCAGACATGTGCCCTGACAAGGAATCAAACCGTGACCTCCTGGTTCATAGGTTATACTGTCCAACCACTGAGCCACACCAGCCAGGCTGAAACAAAAATCTTTAAACCTCTCTTTCCACTCCCCAACAGCTACCCAGTGCATCTCCCACCTGGATGTGACTTGCCTGACTGCTTATCTCAGAATTCTATAGTATGAGAGCACAAATATTACCATGAGAAGCAAACACCTCTGTTGAAAAACTAAGGAGCCAGTGAACTCACATCCCCTCCTCTCCCACAAACTAAGGCTTGAATGAGCCACAGCATCCAGCCCTTCTCTCACCCAGCATTTTTTTTTTTCTTTTTGGTGCATGGGCCGGGAAACTGACTCCACATTCTTAAAACTCTTTTTACTCAGACCTCATTTTTAGAGCAATAGAATGTTAGAGCCTGAAGGGACTATAGAGGTTATCAATTATCTTCAATAGATGAAGAAATTTGAGGCCCAAAGAAGTTAAATGATCTACTCATTAAAGTCACCTTCGTCAACTAGGTCAACCAAGGAGCCTTTGGATGCTGCTCTGGATGTTTTCTGCCCTGGTGTCCAGGGTTTTAGCAGTGCCTTCAGGGGGCCGGCTCTCCCAGTCCTTAGACTTAGTGGTGTACTGATTCTGCTTCCACTCCTCCACTCACCTCAGGATTTTGAATAGTGTTTCCTGTCCAGTTTGGACATCCTGTTTATTTTCAGAAGAAATCCCTTGTCTAGCCAGAAGACACCCCACCTGAAGAGCCCCAGGTTGATTCTGACCCAAACCAAGGGTTTGAATGAAACCAGACCTCCTAGAGGATGCTGCCAGGTGAACAGTGACATTTTTAGGGACTGGAGCTGACTCTCCTTTCTGAATGTGCCCTTTCAGTGTATGTCATTCCTAGACACTTCTTAGGTCCTGCCTTATTCTCAGGCTCCCTTAGAGCAGTCGAAGGCCCTGAAGAGACTGACCCCAAGAACTTAGGTGAAAAATATTCCTGAGGTCCCCCTTATCAGACTGATGCAAAATGAAGTCCATTTGAGGGGTTTCTTTCACTCTAGAGAACTATTAAAAGGCTATTTCCGCCCTAACTAATTTGGTTCAGTGAATAGAGTGTCAGCCTGTGGACCAAAGGGTCCCGGGTTTGATTCCAGTAAAGGACGCGTACCTTGGTTGCAGGCTCCTCCCCTGCCCATGCCCTGGTGGGGGCTCGTGCAGGAGACAACCAATCGATTTGTTTCTCTCACATTGATATTTCTCTCTGTCTTTCCTTCTCTCTTCCACTTTCTCTAAAAATCAATGGGAAAATATCCTCAGGTGAAGATAAATAAAATAAAATAGCTGTTTCCCATACAGACAATAGGAAAGGGTTAACTTTCTCTCAGGTCCTGAGCAAAGTCTGTCCCCCACCAGTTCCCATAACCGGGTTTCCTGAAGTGGAGCAGGTCCCAGGTGCCTCTCCACTAATCACATCCTTGGAAATGGGGCCACGAAGCTCAGATTAGCTCATCCCGTCACCTTCTTGAGGCCTTCTCCACCTGGAGCACAGAATCTGGGGCAGCTTCACTACTCACCTCTCTCTGCTTTCCTATCCGGGGTCAAACAGGGATGTTTGTGCAGAGGAATGTTAGGTGAGGGGGGCACTAGAGGCCATAGTGGTGCTGACTTTTGTGCCACTTCTTGGGACTACAGCATTCATTCTTCCTCACTCTAAGATTTATGGGCAAAGTAAAGATCCTCCAACCCCAGAACACTACCAAAGTTTATATGACTAGAGTCATGTTTTCTTCTTCACTCCATTCTGTTCTCTTCCTCTCCTTCTTGAAATAACTGACAATGATACTGGATTGCTTCCTGTTTTTCCTGGCTGAGAATCACCCTTTGCACAGAGTCTCTGGTTTTTCCACCAGTAGCAGGTTCTGGGGCCAGCCCAGGAGATCTTATTCCTTTCCTGTTAGTGTCCAATTTCTCCTCTTCCTAGATAACCAATAAAATCTGTAGCACAAAGTGGTTCTGCCCTCTGTTATTGGCTTTTACCTTCTTTCTAGGCAGGTGCATTTGTCCTACCCGCTGATATCCACTGGGAAGGAAGTATTCTTTGTGGCATAGAAGCCTTGGGGATGCAAACAGCAATGTAATCTAGTCACAGATGGCGAAGTAAACCTATTGATCCAAAGGCCAGATGATCAACTTTATTTGAAAGACAGGCTAACTGGGACAAAGATTTGCCTTCTAGGGGTCCCACTAAAAAGGACACTGAGTGCGCGTGTTCAGTCTTGGGTCAGTCTTTTGTATGTCCACAGTGCTCTGAAGGACTTCACCAGGAATGCTGGTGTACAAAGTCTCTAAAGCTGGTAATATGGAACCTCATTGGGCTGATTTTTCACTGATTTCTTAACTTGACTTGATTTTCATCTGTTCTAGTTTTCAGGCCATTTCTATCTTCTGTTTCCCCAACTTTCATTCTCACCAGTTGAAAACAGACTGTGGGATCCAAAGTCTAAAGGGGTCAGGATGTCTGAATTATTTTCTCATTTTACCACTCACTTTAGGTGTTATGTTCTAGTTTTCCACAACTAAAATAGGAAAAGTCCCCCAGGAATGTAGTTAAAATAACATCTGTGAGACAATTTGAGAGTTTTAGAATCTTCAAATTAGAAGAAATCTTAGAAATCATTTAATCTAGTATTTCCTAACCAGAGGAACAATATTTTTTCCAATTCCTTTTCTTTATCCCCTCCCCTCTTCCTGACTAGGCTCTCTCTACCTCCTTTCTCATGTCTTCCTGGTACTCAAGATAGAGAATTGATCTACTTTGCACAATATATTTAGTGTGTATAGGGTTGGGAAACACTGCCCTAATTCACTTCCCTATTTCATGCAATAGTCATTCCAACAGTCCTGACAAGATGATATCTAGCTTTTAATTAAATATCTAGTGTTGGGAAATTCGCCACCTCAGAATCAACCCATTCCAGTTCTGGACAGCAGTGATTTGGTGGAGACTTTTTTCATTTTCTTGAATTGAAACCACAGAAAACTCATCTAATCCTTTTGTAAAAGGGAGTGGGGAATACTCAGGATTGTTCTTGTTAACTTGTCACAGTGGTTCAGGCCTGGCCTGAGTGATTATATTCCAGATGTAATGTGCTTTGTACACGAGCTGTGTTCCTAAAACATCATACAAACCCAATTTTGTGTGAATCAAATCATTTTAGACATACTGGGAAGTTGACTATTTTTTTAAAAAAAAACAACTTGTTTTCAGTTCTCTCATAAACTGAAGAATACCTTTGCAATACAAATAACCTCTCCCATTAACCTTTTACGCAAATCTAGATTTTCCTACATCATTACAGGCACACCTCATTTTGTTACACTTCACTTTATAGTGCTTCAAGGATGTTGTGTTTTTACAAATTGTCTTATAATTTTTTTTTACAGACTGAAGGCAAGACCCTCCACCAGCAAAAAGATTACAGCTTCCTTTACTGCAATGCTTGCTTTACTGCATTGGTCTGGAACTAAGCCTGTAACATCTCTGAGGTATGCCTGTATGTTTTACTTAAGGCAAGAGTTGCCTACATAAAAAACAAGGAAAATAATGCTCCTTATCAGACATCAGGCACCTGACATGCATTATTTAATTTCTTACCACAACTTCTTTAAAATTATCTCCTATTTACAGATGAGAAAACCAAGGCTCAGAGAAATGAAATAATTTGTTCAAGGTCACACAATTATAATGTGATGGGCCAGGATTTCAACAAGGCCATAAGACTCCAGAGTCTTGTTTCTAACCACCAGGAAGTTTTGGGTGCCACTAATAGTTGAAGAATAATAATGCCACGGTACAAGTAAATTAAGTTACAATACAGAAAACTGACCTAAAATTTCTATATTTCAAAGATGTGTACTAAATCTACTTTTGTTGGGTTCTAGCACTGTAGGTTTCCCGGCACAATTCACATTTTCCAGTGCAATTTGATTAAGGAACCCCAAAGACTTCCCTTCAGCTATTGGTAGTAAGCAGATGCTACCCAAATTTATTTCAGGTATACGGGTATGATCAGACATTTTTTCAAGGGGTCTGTATTACCAGGGATTTGTGGCATATGCTTCTTAGAAGATAGGAGTGGTTCGTTATTGACAGGTTAAAATAAAATGTATTGAGAATCCTGGTTGATCCCAGCCTGCTCCTAGAAGGATTAGAACCATTAAAATGGGTTATTAGGCCCAGTTTTTAATAGTGTTTAGGTTTGGAACTTAAAAATAGTTTTAGCGAGATGGTCCATAAAATAGTGCTGTTTTAAATCCAAGTTGGACAAGGATAAATGGATGTAATACTTTTGTGTCCTCAGAGCAATTCCATTTTCTTCACTTTAGTCAACAACAGCGTTGACTCACAACCTTGCTCAGTTCAGAACACATCCCTCAGGGCTCCTAGAACCCCAGACTTTTCTACACTGTGTAAGAGGGCTCCAGGTAAGATTCTCTTCTGTCCTCCAGGCCCCACCTCCCCACACCCTACCATCAGAATGCCCCGTTTGACTTAAGACTCTCCCTTGGCTCATCTGCAGACTTTCACTTTCAAATACATGATTATTCTTTGCAAATTATGTCCTGAGCTGGTGTTACACTGGCCTGCGGTCCACGGTAGTCACAGGAAGTCACGTCTGTCCTTGTGAGGTGCTGGCACTCCCCTTGCAAGCCAACCTTTCTGACCTTTACCTGTTTATCAGACTTATTTGCAATCTCAATCACAGACTCCAATGAGGAAATATGTAATTTTCTTTAGTTCTCAACTTAGTTCTTCGGACCCCATTTCTACTAGTGGCAGAAAAATGATAAACCTGGAAAATGCCAACTCAAGACAACTCAATCATTTCAAGTGGTATATGCAGTTTCTTAGGGTTCTCCTCCCTGTCCCCTTCCCTTCATGATGTTCTAGTTCGGGATTTATGGAGCATTCTGATATTGGGGGAAGGTGAGGAAAGGTCGTGTGCCATCTTCTGTCTCTCTTACCTAACTGATAAAGAGTAGCTTCCTTGACCAGCTGGGGTGGTTCAGTGGTTGAGCATCGACCCATGAATCAGGAGGTTATAGTTCTATTCCTGGTCAGGGCACATGCCCCATTTGTAGCCTGCATCCTCAGTAGGGGGCTTGCAAGAGGCAGGCAATTGATGATTCTCTCTCATCATTGCTATTCCTATCTCTCTCTTCCTCTCTCTTAAATCAATAAAAATATATTTTTTAAAATATATTTTAAAAAATCATGTCCCAAGTTGGCATAACCCTGGCCTGCTGGTCCACTGGGCCCCTTCTGCCCGCTATTGTTTGCATCTAAACTCTTGCTCTCTTTTCTCAATTCTTCACTTGGCCTTGGCCATTGGGCTCTATGACCAGGGCATCTGCGGAAGAGCTCCTTGGCAGGTGGGACCTGTGGTCTTGGTGTAGACAGCGCAGTCATTGCTTCATGGCGAGCTTGGTGGCTCCCATCTCAGCAATTCCCGGTGCTACTGAACCTCCATCTGTTCCCTAGGTTGGTCAGGTACCCCTCAGCCTCTACTGGGGTGTTCTCACCCCCCCCCCCTACACACACACCAAAGCAATCCCCACAGGCACCCTGGCTTTCAATTTTCAGGTCACACTCATATTCCTTCTGGTGGGGGGGGGGGGGGGTGGGGCGGAACTGAGGAACTTTCCAGATTGCCTCCAAACATCAAGGAGCCAAGGAGAATCAGGCTTAGGAAGTGAGAAGGCTGGAGGTGGTGAGGAGATGGAATTTATCTCAGACCTGCTGTGCCTACACAGGCGACAACGCCATTTGTACTCTGTGGTGATTGCCCCTGTTGGCATAGGGTACTTTGAAAGGCTGTGAGTTCCAGGAATTATATGGAGCATAAGCCTCTTCTGTCCACTACTGTTTTCATCTAAACTCTTGCTCTCCTCTCTCAATCTTTTTCAGTTCTGCTCCAAGCTCTAAAAGGATTATATTTTCCGTGCAGATGGGAACCTTACATATTCTTTCCAATTCAACAGTTGATGGCATAAATTCTGAGCTTTGGGTTTATCAGGTTCTGTCTCTTGATATTTAACAGGAAGCTTCTGCAGAAAAATAAAACAGTCCCTTTCTTCCTGGCCTGAATTCATCACACATTCTCTCTTGCCCTCTGTTTCCCCTTCCACTGCCCTTCTCTCCATTTCTCACATACCCCATGCATCCTGCAGCATCAGGCCTGGTACCCACACACTCTGTGTCCCTGTAGCTGAGAACATGACTCAAGTGTCAGACTGTCTGGGTTAATTAAAATCCCAGCTCTACCCCTGCCTGCTTCAATGACACTGGGTAAGTCACTCAACCTCTCAATGACTCTGTTTCCTCTTCTGTAAAATGGAGTTAATCCTCAGAGTTGTTATAAGAATTAAGTGAAATATGTCAAGTGCTAGAAGGATAATTCCCAATTAATGTTAGTGGCCATTCTTCTTCATTCTCTGCCTGGTTAATGCTCTCATATTTCAGATCTAGCTCAGATGATCTGACCTTTCTAACCAGGTTATAACTCACTGTTTTATTCTCACATAGCATCCTGACCTTTTCATTCATGACACTCATTATCCTTTATGATTATAAACCTGAGTATAGAGCCCTGGCCAGGTGGCTCAGTTGGTTGGAGCGTCATCCCATACACCAAAAGCTCTCAGGTTCAATTCCCCATCAGGGCACATACCTAGGTTTCAGGTTTGAACCCTGGGGCATGTGCTCTCTCATCTCTCTCTCTCTCTCTCTCTCTCTCTCTCTCTCTCTCTTTCCTTCTTTCTCTCTTTCTCCCTTTCTTCTTCTCTCTAAAAATCAATAAACTCCAAGAGGATAGAGACAGTGTCCATTTTACTCATCATTGGATCCCCAGATCCAGCACAGTGCCTGGCACATAAGCCAGATAGTTTTTGAATGAATGTTTGATTAAATGAATGTTTGTCAGTGCAAATGATTCAAGAAGATTGTGATCATGAAGAGTAAGGGCAATGTGAAGAAAGATTGGGGTTTCTTGCTTATTAAAGCCAGCAAGTACTTGAGCTTGTTTAAATGCTGATGAGAATGAGCTAGTAGAGAGGGAGCTCACCAGAAGAAATTCGAGCCATGAGGCTGTGGGAGGGGAGGGGATTTAGGGAAAGAGCCAGAAGAATCAGTGTCAGACAGAAGGAGGTAAGAATTCAGCTGGACTTGTAGGTTTAGTGGCAGGAAATCCTACCAAGACCTTTCCATGAGTCTTGGTAATGTAAGCAGAAAATCTGGATTCTCTGGGAAGCTCGGCATACTTGGTGGACATCATTTAATTCACTTTTGCAACTCATGTAAAAAGGACGTGGACATTTTCTTCATCCTTGACTGTACTGACACACTACAGAGCAAAATAACAAGTTTCCAAAGCAACTTGGTAACAGAGCTGAGACAAGTGATCTGTGTGTTCTCTTTATGGAGAACACTTCCTCCCCAAATTGGGAAAGAGTATGGCAAAATGATAACATGGTAAATAATCATCGCTGACACTGGTTGAGTACTTGCTCTGTGCCAGGCAGTGTTCTAGTACTTCACCTGCAATAACTCATTTGATGCCGACATTATGATACCATTTTACAGGTGAGGAAACCGAATCCCAGGGAGATTAAGTATCTTGCCCAAGGTCAAAGGCTAGTGGCAAAACTAGGTTTTACACCCAAAGAGCCTGACTCCAAAATGGATGATTTTAACTACACTGCTAAACTCTCTTTCTAGCAGAGGGGAAAGAATGTATTAGGAATCAAAAGAGTTGAGTAGGCCCTGGCTGGGTGGCTCAGGTGGTTAGAGCATCATCCTGATACACCAAGGTTGTGGATTCAATCTCTGGTCAGGACATATATAAGAAGCAACCATTGAATGCATAAGTAAGTGGGACAACGAATGTTTGCTCATCAATAAAGTGAGAATGATGCTTACTTTGCAAGTCTTTTTAAAGGATTATGAAATGTTGAAAATGGGAGCTCACTATACAAAAGCATTATTATTATTATTATTATTATTATTATGCTAATTAGAAGACCTAATATCCTTGCCTTCTAATTGGGTCGCAATCTAATAGGCTGTTGTTGAGACCCATAACCAGTACAGCAGCAGAGGTTTGGGGTTCTGGCTCCTTGGGCAGATCAGCTGATTCTCATCCCATCAGCTTTAACATCCCTGATGGAGCCTCTTTGATGACATAAAGCACACCTCAGTGTCCCCTCCCCCATGAACACATTCACTCCTACCTCTGGGAACTGTTACAGCTTATGCCTTCACTTCTTTGATTCCATTGCCTGAAGGAGTGACTGTTTTAAAAAAATAAGTAATAAATAGCCTGATTACAGCTAATATTGAGGTATACCCAACAAGGCCAAGTTCCAATTTGGTGGTAGATTCACTGTTCCAGTTTAGAATCAGACTATCAGAGCTAAAAAAGAACATCAAGGTCATCTTTTAATGCAACTCCCTGACCTTCCTTCCAACCCATTTTATAGACTAGGAAAACCAAGGTCAGGAAGGTGAGATGACACAACTAGTTAGGATTGGTAAAAGAACTTTTTAAAATAAATATATATTTTTAAATATATTTTTATTGATTTTAGAGAGGAAGGGAGAGGGAGACAGAGATAGAAACATCAATAATGAAAGAGAATCATTGATTGGCTGCCTCCTGTATGCCCCCTACTGGGGATCAGGCCTGCAACCCAGGTATGTGCCCTGACTTGACCAGAAATCCAACAGTGATCTCCAAGTTCATAGGTCAATGCTCAACCACTGAGCCACACCAGACAGACAGTAAAATGACTTCTTTGAACCTTGTAAATGTTTTCAAGTGGGTTTAACACAAATGATTTCTGCTTGCCAAAATCATGTCTGGGAAGTACTTCAATTTTATATTTGTTTCAGTGTGCATATCTTTTCAGACAGGAGCCAAAT